CGTACGCCCTTTTACCCAACACGGACCCAGTACCCGCTGAGCCAACGCTACCTAGGCCCTGAAGACAGGAAAGACCACTATCTTGTGGAGCTTACATCTGTGGGGAGCTGGGGTGAGAACACGGAACAGGTCTGTATGTAGTCCGCCAGATGCTGACGCACGCTGTGGAGGAAAAATGAGTGGGGAAGGCAGTGTTGCAGGGATGCGATTCCAAACAGGAAGGGTTTCTCAGAGTGGGGAGCATTCCGGCCAAGATGGAACAGGCCACGTGCGCAGCGCTGGAAAGAAGGACCAGGCAGAGAGAGTAGGGTGCAGGGGCCTGGAGTGTGCCTACACAACCCTGGGGGTTGGGGGCTGGGGTGCCATGGAGCAGGAGGCGCTAAGGAAGAGGGGCTGGCCCTTGAGGGGATTTGGATCAGGTCCTCGGGCCACTAACAGATGTCCACTTTACTCCGAGTGAGATGGAGGGCGTGGGAAATTAGGCTGTCCATTGTCCCCCCGCTGGCCACTTCCTGCACTATGCCTGGTGCACTAACATGGGTCCCAAGATCCTGACGCCAGTAGGTGGCTGCTAGACCTGGGGGACCCTCAGTTCTCAGCCCCCACCTCCGGCGTGCATGCTTTCTTTCTGGCCAGTCTGACTGGACCAAGGTGTGGACCGTGTGCTCTCCAGACAAAGCAGGTAAACACACGCAAAGATACATATGGCCTGAGCGTGGCTACACAGGGACAGAATCACAGGCCCGAGGCTCAGGCAGTAGAGAAAGCCCCAGAGTCCAAGGGCTAAGAAGTGGTCACAGGGGCCACCTTGCCTAGAGCAGTACAGAGTTTTTCCAGGCCTAGGAAAAGCCAGTTTTATCCTGCAGACCCTTCACTATCCAAGTTTGTTTATTTTCAAGTGACTATCTGTTTAAAAAGGCTTCAGATTCTTGACTCCTTAATTCAGTTAAAATTTCATGGGCCTCGGGATCCCCGGGTGGCGCAGCGGTTTGGCACCTGCCTTTGGCCCAGGGCACGATCCTGGAGACCTGGGATCGAATCCCACATCAGGCTCCCGGTGCATGGAGCCTGCTTCTCCCTCTGCCTATGTCTCTGCCTCTCTCTCTCTCTCTATCATAAATAAATTAATTAATTAAAAAAAATTTTTTCATGGGCCTCTGTATGGAGGTCACTCACCTTGTGGCCCCTGCCTTCAGGGAACTGTAGATCCAGCTAGGAAGCCAGCTCACATTTAAGAAGCATTTATAAAAGATACTCGGCAAAATCCAAATGAGAACCCATGACCGCAGGCACTGCAGGTGAGAGAGGGGCGTCTGTGGGTCAGGGCCCTGGGGAGGCTTCAGGTAGCAGGTGGGCCCTGCAGGAAGGAGGGCAGGGATTCCTGGCCTGGGACAACAGAGGGGAAACAGAACACTGTGGTTAAGGGCCCAGCCTCCCCAGGCCAGATCGGCAGCTCCCGGAGGGCAGGGACAGGGTTTGGGGCCAGTGTCTCCACGGCCCCAAGCAGCACGTCAAATATTGCCTGACTGGGTGGGTAAGTAATGCAGCCTGGCTGGTACTCTGGGCAGGAACTCTTCCCCCCACCCCAAAGGCTCGGTGCTGTTAGCAGTACTACCCCGGCCACCAAGATGGATGTCTGAGAGGTGTTCCAGACTTTTCTCTAGCCCTTAAACCTTGACCTATTAGCAAGTCCTGCCAAAGCCATGGTTCAAAAAGGTCTCAAATCCACTCTCTCATCTACTGCTCAAGATTTATTTATTTATATTTATATTTATTTATTTATTTATTTTAGTCACAGAGAGAGAGGGGCAGACAGAGAAGCAGGCTCCATGCACCGGGAGCCCGACGTGGGATACGATCCCGGGTCTCCAGGATCGCGCCCTGGGCCAAAGGCAGGCGCCAAACCGCTGCGCCACCCAGGGATCCCTACTGCTCAAGCTTTAAAGGCCAAAGTCTAGACTTGGCCCCATGTTCCACATCTCTACTATACTCTACTGCAGCCACCCAGACTGCAATCCGCTCTTCTCCAAACCACCAAACCCCACTCCTACCAAGGGACCTTCCACAGACCTTTCCTCAACCTCCACACATGTACACCCCCACCCTCCAACCCCTGCTCTTCCAGCAAACCTGAGCCTTCCCCATGACTCCGTCCTTACTTCACTCATCTCCCACCTAGAAAACAATGGGGGCTTCCCCACTGGTGTCCCTGCAGGCCCTGCTCAGCCCCTGGCACAGATACATCGAATAAGGGAGGGCTGGGGTTAGCCTAACTAGGTTTCCCATGTTATTTCCAGCCCAAATACCCACCACTCACGGCCGCTGGGGCAGAAGACCGCCTTAGCAGAGATGGAGTCCCTGGCTTCCTGATGATAAGTGCCTAGTTTATGGCCAAAAATCCAGACAGAAGACCCCCTTTCATGAGTCACAGTCAACTCTGGGGAGTACTTTCCACGATGGGGCGGCACAGCCACATTTTCCTCAGCCTCACTCCCTTCAGCCCTGCTGTGCCAGCATCTGGCCGTCGTTGCTAATTCACTTACTAACAGCCTTGAGATGATGCCTGTGTGGCCTCCTGGCTGCTGTCGGACCTGCGAGGGCGGAGCACAGGTGAGGGCCCTACCAAATGGGCCTGGGGCACTTAGAAGAACACTCCCTGCAAACACAACTGCCTTCCTCGCTGCTTCCCCAGCTTGTAAAACTGCTGCTTTTAATGTTGATTATAACTGCAACAAGTTTCACTTCCTACCAAAGTAATAAAGGCGTAGAATTCTCAAACTCTACCCCAGGACACCCTTCCAGCCTTCTCTGCCTGCCCTGTCCTCGGTTTCTCCTCCAAGGGAAAACACAGACACTGGAATAGATGTGAATTCAGACTGAATCAACATATTGAACACATTATGTACCCAGCACACGCATAGTTTTTACTGGACTTCATGACAACTCCTTGTGGTAAGAACCACCCAGTGGTCAGACCATGAAGGGGCTCACAGCACCCACAGATCAGGAGCATCAATAAGATGATGAGAAACATTTTCTGGAAAACTGATCTGATATTACCAAACTTCTCACAACTGCTTTTATGGAGACAATCAGTATGTCACTGGACTTCCTTACCTCGTGTGGTTTTACTTCACCTAACATGAGGGAACCCTAATCTTCCAGCACAAGTGGATACGGGTCTTCGTCTCACTTGGGTGTTGCTTTTCACTTATCATAGTTGCAGCAAGTGAGGCTCTGGGAGGGCAAATGGCTCGTCACACAGTTTGGAAGCAACAGAAGTGCCTCAGCCTGCTCTGCCAGGTCTAGACAGTACTGGTCCGGGGACCCCACCTTCATCATCAGAACTTGGTAACTCAGGAGCAGGAGAGGTGCTTGGTCAGTAGGCTCTATGGCAACCAGACCTGCATCTCCCTGGGTGGGCTGCCCTCTCAGGGGGGAGAGGCTTTGCCACAGACCCAGGCCAAGCGCCCCCTCTCCTCTGCAGCACTAAGTTGCAAAGCAGCCTCTACCACCTCCTGGGGAGACGTGTCTGAGAGTCCTGACTGCAGAGATGAGGAGCCGGAAGCCCTCTGTGGGGTTCTAAAAACTGGAAGATTCCCATTCTGTACACTCCATTTCCAAATCCCTTTGTGTAGTTGTGCCACCCCTGTAAGCCTGGCTCTCCTCCCCATGAGGGGACAACATTATTCGCAGAGCAACGCCTGCATGCCAAGCAACGCCTGCATGCAGAGTAACCCCTGCATGCTGCCTTCTCACCAGCATAACAGGCTTCCTTCACACAAGGACAGAGACGTAAGTATACGGTGCCACGACTCTACCACATTTCCCTGTGTCCTCCATGAATAAAAGGATGTGCATGACCTTTGAACAGTGTTGCTGAAGCTGGAGATGAATTTCTACAGGATCTCAGACAACTGAACAGGATTAGGGATTGGTATTTGTGCCTACATAACAGCTCCTCAGCCCCAGAGACTCAAAGCTTGTCAGCTGGGCTACACAGCCCTGTTCCTCTGGGGTTTGGGAAACCACACCAAACTAGCAGGTTCAAACCAGGCAAACTGTAAAGAGCAGTCATGGAGTCCGCAGGCTGACGATTTGTATCATTTATTGTCAATGTGATCTGCTGGCCTAATCTGACTACCGGGATACATTTCATTAGCAGCCCCTCAAAACATTTTTGTTCCCTGCAGCATTACTGTACATCACGCATTCCATGTTTCTGCTCTTAGTGATTTTAGAGCCATGGCCTACTGTTTCTTTGTTAAGAACATATGTAAACCTCTTTCCTGGTTCCAGAGGCCCATCCTATGGAAAAACCTCCAAACTCCTCCAGCTCCTCAGGGATGGGAGACAGAGAGAACTCTTCAATACCCAGAGCTTCTACTGGTGAAAAATCAATAAGCAAAAATTCTAGGACTCTACTTAATTATATGTGTAATTATTTGGGAAGGAAACAGTCGGATGTCCACACTTACACACATAAACAAAATGAACTGCTGATGGTTAGATAAGAGACAAAATACAGTTAAAAGTTGCACATTCTAGGTGGTGGTCTAATTGCATTCAACATACAGTTTCCTCAGCTTTTAAATGTGGGGCTGTGGGCGAGGCAGAGCTGGCACTGCTCTCCCCACCCAACTTTTAAGTCGGCTGGGAGGTAAGTAACAAAGTGCCAAGGAGAGGGGTCACACTACCTACGTACTGCCTGCCCAGCAGCAGGTCCCACTTTACACACAAAACTAGTATAAATGCTATGCTTCAAGACCTCCATCCTCTTCACTTTAGGATAAAGGCACTCAACTCCAAATGTGACTGAGAATTATCTGGGGAGCTTATTAAACACAGTCCTGGCCACAACCCATAAGTGCTGAATCAGAACCCGCGGGGGGGGGGGGGGGCTGCCCAGGAATCAGGTCTCTTTAACAAAGGTCCTGGTGATTCTAAGGCAGAGGATCCGAGACCCACACTGGAGACGCTGAGAGCCGCTAGCTCCTTACCTGACACCTGTTGAGAAGCCTCCTGGGTACATTTAGAGGAAAACAGAAACGCACGCCCACGAACAAGTGCCCAAAGCCAGGCTCGACGACGACGTGGGTTCAACGACACCAAGGTCCTCGACGGCACGAAGCTGGGCCGGAAGCCAGGCCAGGTCACTGCCTCCCCGCCAGCCCCGGCGATCGGGGACGGGCGGGGGAGGCAGACGCGCGCGGCCCCTCGGGCCTGCCAAGGTCACCGAGGAGCTCAGCGGGGGCTCCTCTCTCCCCGGGACCCTCCTCCCGACCCCCATTCCTCCAGGAAACAGCGCGGTGGAAAGCGGGAGATGCTAGTTCCCCACCTCTCCCGACAGGGGGTGTGGGAGGGTGACAGCGGGACCCCGAGGAGCGCGCCGGCAGCCCCAAGGCACCGACCCGGCGCCCGCCCGAGCCTGGCCGAACTGTGACCGCAGCCCCGCGGGGGGGGGGGGCGGCCAACCCGGCGACAGGCGACGTCAAAACCCAAGGGCCGCTCTGGATCGCATCAGTGCCAGGGGAGGAGGCGACGGGTGCGCTGAGCCGCCGCCTGGGGCCTTTACCTCGGGAGGCCAGGCGCCCGAGGCCGAACGGACGCCAAGACAGGCCGGGGTCCGGGCGCCGGGAGGACGAGACCCTCAGCCCCGCGGGGCTTTGCGCGCACACCGCCCCCCGCCCGCCCAAAGGCCTCTGGGAGATGTAGTCCGTCCGCGCGCCTCAGGAGCACTCCGCGGGTCGGGGAGACCACAGTGCCCGACATGCACCGCGCAGGCGCCGCAGGCGGGGGCTGGGGGCTCAGCGGTCCGAGGTCATCCCCCTCCCCGCGAGGGCCGCGCGCGTCCAGCCCTGCTCCCGGCGGGCCCGGGGAGGGGCGGGGAAAGGGGGCTCTGCCGGAAGCTGTCTCCAGTGGCCGAGGCGACTCACCGTCCCCGCGGCACCCGCGGCGGCCGCAGCAGGAACGGTCGCCTCCGCAGCTCGCCGTCGCGCGTCTGTCAGAAGGAGGCGGGTAGGCTTTGGAGCAGGGCGTCAGGGCGACGGGCGGAGCCATGAGGTCAGCGTCGGGGCGGGGCTTCCAGCGACACGTGACGGTCCTTGGTGACGTCACGGGGAGCGGAGGCGCTTCGGCGAAGGCAGGACACGTGGGAGGGTCTGGGGAGGTTTTGTCCAGCGTAAGAGTGGCCTGCGGTGGCCTGAAGCTAGGGGAAGGACCTAGATGGCGCCTCCTCCCGCCCTCTCAGGCCCAGGGCATCCGTCCGAGCCAGGCGCATCTCCATTCCTCCCTTTATTCAACCAATACTCCATTCCTCCCTTTATTCAACCTCCCTTTATGCAAACCAATGAGCTTGGGCGCGGTGTGTTTTGTGGGCTTGCGCACGACGGGAAGGGTTTGCGTTGCCAGGTGCGGAGGGTTCGAGCTGAAGTCAGATAAGGCAACCCTGTGCCTTCTTGTCTTAGCTCTCATACTGTGAACAAGTGTCTTGTGCATGTGTGCTGCCACGGTTTTTACATTTTGGGGGGTTTTGTTGGTGATTTTGTTTGAAATGGTCCCCAAGCGTGGCGCCAGGCACTGTCCAGCGTCCCTAAGCACGGGGAGGCTGTGACGTGTCTTCAGGAGAAGACACCTGTGTTAGATGACCTGTTCTGGTTGTGAGCCATAGTGCTGTCGGCCTTGAGTTCAATGTTACCGAACAGGCAATGTGTGTATGTGTATGTACATGTATCTTAAGATTTTATTTATAAAAAAAAGAATTTATCTCTTCATGAGAGGCAGCGACACAGGCAGCGGGAGAAGCAGGATCCCTGCAGGGAGCCCGACGTGGGACTCGATCCCAGGACCAGTATCACACCCTGAGCTGAAGGCAGGCAGAGGGAGAAGCAGGCTCCATGCACCAGGAGCCCCACGTGCGATTCAATCCCAGGTCTCCAGGATTGCGCCCTGGGCCAAAGGCAGACGCTAAACCACTGCGCCACCCAGGGATCCCTAATCTATTTCATTTAACCCAATACATGCAACATATTATTTTACAATAATTTTTACAATATTTAATGAATGTAAAAAATTATCTAAGATATTTTACTTTTATTTGTTCCACACTTTGAAATACAGTGCATATTTTGTTTTATTTATTTCTTTCTTAAAGATTGTATTTATTTGTTCATGAGATACACAGAGAGAGGCAGAGACATAGGCAGAGGGAGAATCAGGCTCCCATGGGGAGCCTGACACAGAACTGGATCCCAGGACCCCAGAGATCACGACCTGAGTCAAAGGCAGATGCACAACCACTGAGCCACCCAGGCGTCCCTCAGTGTGTATTGTAGACTTGAAGCAGATCTTAGTTTGGATCAGCTACATCTCAAGGGCTCAGTAGCTATATGTGGCTTGTAGATACCATATCAGACATTGCAGATATAGAACATTTATTCATTTACTCTGCAAGGTTTTGTTCTATGCCTGAAAATATACAGAATGAAATAAAGCCCAGTCTCTGTTCTCAAAGTGCACACAGTCCAGCTAGGGAGACTAATAGAATAGTCTGTGTTGAAGGCATCAAAACAAGGTGCTTTGAGAGGTCAATGAGGGAGCACTTAGATGAGGAAAGCTTCAGAGAAAAGAGAGACATTTAAGATGGGGCTTGAAGGATGTGTAAGAGTCCACCAGGTGAAAGAAGTGGAAGAAGGGCACTTGCAGCAGTGAGAGCTGCTTATGCAAAATCCCAGAGAGATGACATATGGTGCTACTGGGGAAATGCAAGCAGTTTTTTTTTAAGTTTTTATTTAATTATTCATGAGAGACCCAGAAAGAGAGGCAGACACATAGGCAGAGGGAGAAGCAGGTTCCCTGCGGGGAGCCCAATGCGGGACTCCATCCCAGGACTCTGGGATCACAACTTGACCCAAAGACAGACGTTCAACCACTGAGCCACCCAGGTGCCCCTGCAAGCAGTTCTTTATAACTGGATTTTAGGGTATGAAATGGGAGAATAGTGAGTAGGAAAAGATGAGGAAGGTCTTATAGACCAGATGGAATCTAGAACTTGATCCTCTTCAGTAGTAATGGGACATGTGAAGAATTGTTGGGTTTTTTTTTTTTTTTTAATAGCCCTAATAGTTTCTGCCTTTATTTTTTAAGATTTTTATTTAGGGATCCCTGGGTGACTCAGCGGTTTGGCGCCTCCCTTGGGCCCAGGGCGTGATCCTGGAGACCTGGGATTGAGTCCCGCATCGGGCTCCCTGCATGGAGCCTGCTTCTCCCTCTGCCTGTGTCTCTGCCTCTCTCTCTCTCTCTCTCTGTGTGTGTGTGTGTGTGTGTGTGTCTCTCATGAACAAATGAATAAAATCTTAAAAAAAAGAAATCAATCTTAAAAAAAGATTTTTTTTTTAAATTTTTATTTATTTATGATAGTCACACAGAGAGAGAGGGAGAGAGAGGCAGAGACACAGGCAGAGGGAGAAGCAGGCTCCATGCACCGGGAGCCCGACGTGGGATTCGATCCCGGGTCTCCAGGATCGCGCCCTGGGCCAAAGGCAGGCGCTAAACCGCTGCGCCACCCAGGGATCCCCAATCTTAAAAAAAGATTTTTATTTATTTGCTCATGAGACACACACAGAGAGAAAGAGGCACAGACACAGGCAGAGGGAGAAGCAGGCTCCATGTAGGGAGCCGGACGTGGGACTTGATCCCGGGTCTCGAGGATCACGCCCTGAGCTGAAGGTGGCGCTAAACCGCTGAGCCACCCAGGCTGCCCACATGTGAAGAATTGTATCTTTTTTTTTTTTAAGATTTTATGTATTTATTCATGAGAGACACAAAGAGAAGCAGACACACAGGCAGAGGGAGAAGCAGGCTCCATGCAGGGAGCCCAACGTGGGACTCAATCCCAGGTCTCCAGGATCACGCCCTGGGCTGAAGGGAGGTGCTAAACTGCTGCGCCACCCAAGCGTCCCAAGAATTGTATCTTAAGTAATATGACCAGACATACATTTTAGATAAATCATTCTGGCAATGTGGAAGGGCTGGGAATTGTGGCCAGAAGTTCCAGCAGGAAGGGAAGGGGCTCTAGGGAGTATCCAGGCAGAATACCCTGGGCCTCAGTTCCCCCATTCACAAAGAGGAAATGCCATATCTCACTTGCTGTTAGAGGAATCAAGGAATAAAAAAGAGATAATTGAATTGCATTTGCACTAAAACTGAGGGCAGTGGTGCCTGGTAGGCTCAGTGAGTGGAGCATGCAACTCTTGATCTCGGGGTTGTAAGTTTGAGCCCCGCATTGGCATACAGTTTACTTAGAAAAAAAAAAAAAGGCCAAGTATTCCTGAAAAGATTAAACAGAAAACAGAGTCACTTAACAATTATATTCCTAGGACTATGGCCAAGAAAAATGAAAACATATGGCCACACACAAACCTGTACACAAATGTCCATAGCATTTGTTCATATTCATAGCACAAATGCTCACAATCACTATGTGAGCCAAAAAAGTGGAAACAACCCACCAACAAATAAATAAATAAACCGTGGCTGACCCGGGCTATGACGTGGGTGAAACCTTGAAAACACCGTGCTTGAGTGAAAGAAGCCAGTCACATGAGACCACATGTTGTATGATTCCATTTGTATGACACATTCAGAACAGGAAGATCCACAGAGATGGGCAGATTAGTGGTTGCCTAGGGCTGAGGGAGTTCAGGGGAGACACGGGGAGGTGACTGCTAATGGGCACAACTTTCTTTTTAGGGTGATGAAAACAATCTAAGATCGACTGTCATGATGGCTGCACAGCATGGCGAATATACTAAAAGCCATTGAATTTGTACAGTTAAATGGGTGGATGTGGATTAGATCTTAAAGCAGTTACCAAAACAAACAACCAGAGAGAGAGTATATCCAGAGAATCAGACACAGGATGAGACAGACACGCCTGTTAGAGGTAGGGTGATGGTACCTGTGCTGTTTGCTGTAGAATCCTCACGGAGCGCCTCTGAGACCAGGAGCCCTGTGACTGTCCCAGGAGGTTGTCGGGAGCTGTCACTTGTGGTCTTGCAGTGTAACTGATGAATTCACTTGTTCCCAGGAGCGTTTGCTTTCTGCTGACACCTGCCCTTCTCACAGACGCACACACGAGGCTCCTTCCACAGCACCTGCCTCCTCCTCCAGCCTCCGAGCCTCATACGTGTGCTGCAAAGCTGGCTGCTTCTTTATTTTTAGTCCGGATTATACTCTAACTGGGTCAGCTGGAGTGTTGTGGGCCCAGCACAGCCTCAGCGGTCCTTCTGCTGGCCCCTACCCCCAGATCATCCTACTGCCCCCGGAAGAACACCTGTCTGCTTTCCACGGGGCTGGACCCCAGATTCCCAGGTTTTACAGAAAACAGCCCCAAGGTGGGAGAAGTGGGAGCTCCTTCCTCTAATCTGCAGCAGTGCCATCTGCTGGCCAAACGGTGGTACAGGGGACACGGTGGCTTCTCTGCTGGCCTTCCCTTCCCAGACTTTGAGCCTGTGTCACAGAGTGCCAGGGATAATGCTCATCCCTCTTAGTTGTCATAGGCCAGAGTTTAAACCAGACCTTTTCCTTCCATTGAGTCCCATGAGAAAAGTGCCCGTGTCTTACATGTTGAGCTTGATGTGCGGTTTCACGAGCCTCACTGTTGGTACAGCAGGCACCAGGTAGAGACACCTGGCAACCTCCTCTGTGCCCCCTTCCACTCACCATCGCCCGCAAGGAAGTCACTAGCCCAGCTCCGAAGAACAG